AACCTCCTATGCCCTTTTGACGTGAATCCTAAGTAGTTGAAGCTAACTCCCTCCCAGAGACAGCCCAACTTACTTTCCATGTGAGGGTTACCTTGTCCTAGGCACTCAACCTCACACTTCATATGTCGGATTCCCTCCCCCACTGAGAGGTGTCGAACACTCAATACACTAACCACTTTAGTGCACTGAGCCCACAATACGTAAGACAACACTGAGTACTGACAGTGTGCCATAAAATATCAAAAATCCACACCTTCTCATTGGTGAACTCCCACCAAGATCATGCCTTTTACTCTTGTCTATCTTTTCTGAGTATTGACCATTCAACACTCTAAAGTAGTATAACATTTATAAATCTCGTTTCCATAAAAACATTGTTATTAAACAATTAAAAAAAACATAATTGCACTATAATCAAAGTAATATCCCATAACCCCTTATAAAGCACATTTAATCTTTTAAAACATGTAATGCATGATAGCTAGTAATATTTATTCAAAAATAGCTAAAACAGAGTAATAGAAAATATAAATTTTCCCTGTTACCTCAACCCTTTGGTACCAAAAGGATTCCTTTTGTACAAAATAGAACTTGGCTTGTTCCTTAACTTCCGAACAAATTCCACCAACAATCCCTACAACATATAAGTGATCCACATCACTTATCATGTCAAATAGCATTAATGAAAACTATAACTCATACCACACAACTTGGGTCTATGAGCCATAATCCATCCCAATAGTCCATATATTAAACCAACCATTCACATAGTATCACTTAACCACCAAAATCATTTATTAGCCATCATTAGGCTAATTTCCAATTTATATAATTTTTTATCAATTAAAAACTTTCACTTAGTGTCACCAACTTTCACCATTAGCCCTTATAATGAAAACCAAACCTTAATTTAAATCTTATTGGGCTCAAATAGCAAAATTATAACTAAATCAATAAGCTTAAACCATTGAAGAGCAAAAACCCAATTTCTCAGGGTTTAATTTATGCCCAAAACACCTCTTTTCATCCAATTATCCACTCAAAACATTAGATCACTATATAGAAACTCAAAACATGCTCCCTAGGATCTAAAGAAACAAAAGCTTACAAGAATAAAGCCTTTGGGATCAAAATCCAAAAATCTCCTCTTTCAAAAATTGAAGAAAATCAAGAGAAAGAGAAGAGGATTGAAGTAGGGAGTTTACCTATCGTGTAGCCGAGCTCGCAACGGTCACAAAGACTCCTAGATCCGAGCCTAACTCCCTCTCTTTCTCCTTTCTTCTTCCTCTCTCTCTCTCTCTCACGTGTTTCCTTTCCTTTCCTTGTTTTCTTTTCTGCGTTTCTGGTCTGTTTTTCCTCTTATAAAAGCTGATCTAAAAGTTTGGGGAAAATTACAAGAAATGGCTCAACATTTTTTATTATTGCACAAAAGCTCGGGTCAACTTTGGTAATTTTTCCCATAGTTAAAAATCAAATAAAACTAAACTTTTGCTTAGTAAAATTCAAACTCTAGACCTCTATCAAATTATTTTAAATTTTAATTTAATTATAGATATTTTATTTTATTTTATTTTTATAAATCTGAATCTTAAAATTTCGGGATGTTACAGTTGTACATGCCATTCTTGCTCAGGTATAAGCAATTGTAAGATGGTTGAACTCAAAATTGATGATAGATCATATGAGGAGTGCAGATGATAGCTGGCATGCTCCTGATGTGGGAATAATTAAATTTTATTTTGATAGAGCTTGCTTGGATAATGGAAACAGGGTAGGATGTGGAGAAGCAGCCCCAGACCGTACGGGGAAGGCTCTTGGAGGCTTTTTTTTATCATATTGGCAATGGTAGCAGTTTATGTGCGGAGTTTTAGGGTATTTTATAGACTCTTAAGAGAGCTTAGGACTCTAATTGGAAGAACATAGAAGCGGAGATTGACTGTCTTAAAGCAATTAAAGTTTTATGATCTGATGAAATTTCTCAGCACCCTGATTGTAATATCATTGCTGAAATTCATCACATGTTGTCTTAGAGTTGGAGGGTGAATATAAAGTGATATAGTCAGGAAGCCAATGTTGTTGCAGACAAGTTAGCAAAGGAAGCTTTGGTTAGACACAAAGGGGTCGTAACTTTTCCAAACCCTCCTGATTGGGTTTCTGATTTATTATTAACTGCTATAAGGGTGTAATACCCTATGCTGTTCATTCATCAAAAAAACTTACACCTTAAATCAATCCAACTTCAATATTTCATCATCACATTACCTTAAAATTAGTCCCAAAAATACCTCAAAAATAAAAAATTTTCCTCAAACATTATATCATCATTCTAACACCTTAGAAACACTTATCCATACTTAAATAAATATATAAACATATGAAATAAACCTTGCAAGTTCAATTCAAATAAGACATCATCATCTAAGTCTAGAGTTTAACTAAAAATCCTCAAATTCAAATTCCAATCATTAAAGGATGTTTTATAGCATTTAGTGTACTCTCAACAACCTCAACAACCATAATAAATCATATTAAATTTGGATTAAATATTCTATAGAAAATCCTAACTCAAAAATCTTCCTCATACTTAAAGAAAATTATGTAGAAGGATAGCTTAAAGGACTAAGAACTTACCCTAAGTGGTTGCTCTGCCTGAAAACACCTCTAACCTACTGGATTTTCATGCCCTAGCAGTGTCTCACCATAGCTCCCTCTGATTTCTCTCCTCTCTTATGCATTTTGTCTGAAAACAAAACCATGAATGCCTTTAAAAAGGCTCGTCTGCACGTGGTCAGGACAAGTATAAACTTATCTGCACATGGACACCCTTTTAATAAAATGAGGGCATTCTAGGTCATTCTGGGTCTTCATCTATTCATAGTTGTGTGCCGTTATGAGAACATTTGCATGTGATCAACCACCTGATGGGCCCATTGGGCCCAATAACTTATTTTGGACTCTATTTATTAAAAGTTTTTGGTCGAATTAAACTCATAATTAATTGCCTAAATATGTCATTAACCTAGGCAATCTCAAAAGTATTTTTATTCCTAAATCTCACCTCAAAGTAAATTTCAAACCCTAACATTAAATCCTCAAGTTTCCAATTTATTTCTTAAATTAAAAATCTAGATGTTACCAAAAAAAACCTCAAAATAGAGTACAAACAAAAAAGGAAAAATAATAATTAAAGATTTCATAAGAACATTAATGATAAATACAAATCTTAAATTATTGAGATCCCAATAATATATCATGGTCCTTATTTGCAACTAAAAAAATGAGGATAGTCAGTTGAAAAATCAACAAAGTGCACTTTGGATTATTTATAATGTCAATTGAGAATTTATGAAAGTCAATTATGAATCTCAATTTTTTGTTGTCAATATGCAAATAAATCACTTAGAAAATTAAGAAAATATACTTGAGATTATTTGTAACATTAGTTAAAAATTTATGAGAATCAGTTGTGAATTATAAGTCAATCACTTATGATTTTTTTGCTGTCAATATATAGACAAATCACTTGAAGAATCTATAAAATATACTTGAATTATTTGTAACATTAATTAAAAATTTATAAGAGTTAGTTGTGAATCATAAGCTAATCACTTATAATTTTTTGCTATCACTTAGGAAATTAATAAAAGATACTTGAGAATATTTGTAGCATTAGTTGTGAACTTACAAGTTATGAATACCAAGTCAATCAATAAAAAATAATTTATTACAAATAAAGATCATGATATGCTATTGAAATTTCAATAATTCAAAATTTATAAACATCATTAATGTTCTTATGAGATCCCTAATTATCATTTTCCTAATGTAAAACAGCGAGCTAAGGATCTCTTTGATCAAAGATTAGCAAGAGTACAATTATCCAAAATTTTGAATTTATATTTTAATTAAAATATTTTTCTGACGGAAAAAGGATTCGAAAGGAAAAATTATAGAGACGGATCTAATATTGCTAAAATTCATTAGAAAAGACTATACAAATTAAAATTAGGCTAAAGGACCAAGATAAATGTAATCGACTATTATAACTTTAATGTCAAACCTATTAATAATACCTTAAAATTAATGTGGAGTACTGTATAAGTTATAAAAAAATTATTTTTAAAATAAAATTGTGTAGATTTCAATTCCACACAAATAAAAAAAATACAGTATTAAATTTAATTAAATCAATATATTTTTAAAAAATAATTACTTTTTAAATAATTAAATGAATATAATTTTAAAATCATTACTTTGAAAAAAATTAAATCAATATAATTTAAAAATATTTATTTTTATTTATTACTACTAGTAACCATGAAATTAAATTTGAAATGTGGTTAGAGAAAATATAAAAGATTTGATTAGGGGAATTTTTTTAAAACTTATATTTTAGTGTTTTTAAGATTTATTTTTTAATAAATATTTACTCCATTCAAATATATAAGGTATTTTTTGAGGAATTAGATGTTAAAAAAATGAAAGGCATTTTTAATCTTTTGAGATGTAATCATTGCCTTTTTTTTTTCTAAAATACCTTATTGATAGTGACTTTATATTTATTATAGGATATTTAATAAAAATAAATATAAAAAAAATTAATTAAAAAATAAATAATTATTTTATTAAAAAATAAAATTAAATTAAAAATATTTTATATTTTTTAACGAGTATTTCGTTTTCCATGCAGTTAGCAATAATTTTCCCAATCGGAAGCGCTATCATCTCCTTGACAATGACAGGTTTTGTCCAAAAACAAAAAAGACAATGACAGGTAAATTTATTTACAAATCCCATTATATTTTTATTAAAAAGCAAAATAAACTCTGAGACACGTGTCGTGGAGTAGAGAAACTCACACGAAAGGCACCGCACCGCACTATCGGACTCGTTGCTTACTGTACCTTTTCATATTCCCACCTTGCACTGCATGTACGAACCTGAAAGTTCTCTCTCACACACTCACTGAGCACTCGCAAACGTTACCACTGCGAGCGACAATGGCAACCTTCGCCTGTGAAAGCATTGGCAATGGAAATGGCGCCTCCGCCGCCTCAGCAGAAGGCGGCAGTAGAAACAAAAACTACTGCATCACTGATTGCGTCGACCAAGGGAGCGTGGAGAGCTCTAGGTACTACTACGCTCGTCGGACGGTGTGTGAAATGCTTCGAGATCGTGGTTATGATGTGCCTGACTCCGAACTCACCCGTTCTCTCGTTGATTTCCATCGTGTTTTCGGCCAACAACCGAACGTCGAAAGCCTCCGTATCTGCGTCCCTCTTCGTTCTGATCCATCGAGCAAGGTCTATACTCAAATCAGCAACACATTAGTATTGCTCTGTTTCGGTTACTGAAGAAAGCTATGTGGCTTTACATTTTGTTTTTTAATACAAAGAAATGCACACATATATCTTTTTCTCAACTTCAAAACGCAAAAGTGCCGTTTTGGTAATGACATTTTGTCATTGTTTTCTCAACTTCAAAACATACTCCATCGTCTTTTTTTTTTTGGTACGACTATGCCAGTTACACATTGAGGAGTCTGAAATGAAATCTTCCTTGAAGAAGTTAATGAGAAATGAATATGAAGTTTAAATTGTTAGAAGTGATAGCTGAAGACTTGAGGACCAGAGACATTTTTGTTTTCGTATGTTGAATGAAAGCAATTTGCAAATGAATCAAAGTAATTGCATTTTTTTTAAATTTAATTACTGAACAATGTCTTTTCAGTCGCTTGTCTCCTTTTGCTCTGTAATCATTTTTTTCTGAAGCAGGGGAACGCATAATTTCGTGTTCACAGAAGAGGTGGAAGGTATAAATGAATAACTTGGAGTTATTCAGATATTAATAAAACTTTGATTATTTGTTTGGAATTTGAGTCGTATTACTAAATGGTAAAGAATTGAAGAAGAAGAATAAGAAGAAGAAGACCTCAGTGTCTTCTTGTGTCTACGATAATGCTGCCAATTACTGTGTCATTCCTTTCAAATCATCAATGAACAGGATGGCTTTGGTAAAGCTGTTCACCTTTTTGGTCTCTGTCTTGCTGGAAGTTCACAATCACAAAGTTGCTTCTTTCGTTGTCCTGAATTTAATATAATGAATCTAGGAAAACCTTTCCCCTCTTCAAAGAAAACTGACACTTTGCCATATTTAAATGAGTTTCACACTAATTTGTAGTATTTTGTGTGATTCATATCCTTTGAGGCTTAAATATCTTAATCGGTTTTGCATTTTGGGGGATGCAAAATAATATTTATAATGGGAGATAGACTCAGCTTTGACCTTGTTGGCATACTTAGGATTTAAGTAAATTCGTGCATGTTTGGTAAAGTAAGAGTATATAATACATACATATAAAGCAATTTGTCATAAGTTTCATATGAGAAAACTTCACAAGTGAAGTGGAGTTTATAAATTTAAAAAATTCTTTCATCTAACATATTAATTTTTGAGATGAGCTCTCTTTTTAAATTTGATTTTCTCTTTAAAGTTTGAAAGACTCTCACCTAAAAACTAATTTTTTAAGATGAATTTTCTCTTTGAATTTATGCTCATGACACAATTCAAATTGATTTTGTTGTTCACTCCTGTTGGACTTTGTGTAATCAATTGAAAGGCATATATGTTGCCAGCTAAACAAAATAAGAAATGCAGAGACGATGACTGAGAATGCAGGCAAAGCATGAACTAGAATTTGGTCACTTAACATATAGAAAAAGATAAATGCCACTTGCAGATTATGCTGTTATCAAACATTAAACTATATGCATTTTAGCTGTTTTATTGGAGTACTTCTTTAATAATTGGGTGAAAAATTTATTTTAATAATTCTAATTGCATATGCAATTGAGTAATGTTCTCTTTATATATTATCGATTTACAGTGGCTTAATACCTTCTTTGCAGGTATTGGTTATCTTTCTTGGAATTGCTGATGTCAAAGTTGAAACCATTCGCCTTTTGTATGGGAAGATTATGAATGAAGAAAGATTGAGTGGGGTCATACTTATTCTGCAAAGCAAAATGACCCCATATGCAGGAAAAGAACTGCAAAATTGGCCATTTAGCAAGGTTGAGACTTTTAAAGTAAGTTACAAATTCCAAATGATATTAATCAATTCTTTGAAGGGTGAATAGTTTACAAGTTGTCAAGATTTCTGTGAATTTTAATTTAATAGTGAATATTCTCAATGTGGGTTTCGTGGTCAGAGAGGCAAGGAGATTAGATATTCTTTGTCCTCTTTTGTGCATTTCAGTGATGAACGTTTTGATTCGGATGCTTTCTGGGGCTGCAAATATGGGTGAGATAAAAGGTCTTACTATCGGTTCGAAGGAGACCAAAGTTTTTTGTGCTATGCTATTTTGGCAAGGTGTTAGGTTTAATCATGGCTTTTTTTTTTTTTTAATGCAAAGGAAGGCAGAGCCTTAAGAAGAAGAGGAAAAAGATTAACCTGTAAGGGCTAACACATTCCGGATCATTTCGATCCACGTAATGTCCGTGCGTTGTGGCAGTGGTTCTATAATGATCATCACTTCGCCGTTCATATGTCATGAACATTTTCCCCAACCAATCAGCATACCTATTTACTAATCTACTGATGATGTACTCATAGGATGTCATCAAGTCCCGCATGATTAGTCCTCTTATCTCATTAGCGAGATTTTGAACACCGGGTGATAACCATGGCTTTCATTTACTCAGATGTCCCTTTTGAGGGCAATTAACACACTATTCTGAGACCTAGTGTGCCGATCCGATCAGAAACTTAATTTGCCTCGTTTAATTCTTTCCCTTCCAGCAGTGAGCTACCATTGGAATAGGCCTTTTGGTGTCTTTAGAGAAATTGGGTGTCTCAGTAGAGAAAGTGAGTTACCACTTGGGATCAATTTCTCCAAATTCACTTCAAAGGATTTGGTAATAAGAAGGATGGCAAGACTTTTGTTACATTATGTCTCAGTACTTGGGATCAATTTCTCCAAATTCATTTCAAAGGATCTGGTTTTTTCAAGGGAATTCCTACTTCTGATATACATGGTTTGAACAGAATTCATCCACAAATTAACATTCCAGGCCTTGTGTTTATTTAGTTATAAAGTTCTTTTTTGGTCTCAAATATTTCTTATCCTTGATATTTTATTCCATCTTCTGCTCCTAATATAATATTCTTTTAAATAGATAAATGACTTGCTGGTGAATATCTCAAGGCACTTATTACAACCTAAGTATGAGGTATTGACCACAGATGGGAAGACAAAATTGCTTGAGAAGTACAAAATGGAAGCGAAGCAGGTATTAATTGTGTTTGCTTGCTATATTATAAGTCGATCACTGTATTAATATGCAAAATGTAGATACACATATAAGGTGGCAGCAAGAATGAGTATAAAAAGATTTAAAAACATTTAACTCATATACATTTTAGTGTCATTCATTCATTTATTGAAGGAGGAGTCCTTTGTCAGATGATTCAATGATAAATACAAGGATAAAAAAACCAGCGGCTAGTCTGATAAAAACAAAAACAATTGCTTGGCTGATGAATAAAGGCAATGTAATTCTGCAGTTTTTTTAGGGGAATTATGTTTAGGTCATCCGCATAACATCAATTAAATATCACAAGATCAATTGACAATTGAGTTGTCATTTTGTAATACTCAGAATTATTAATAGACCATATGATATTTAATTGTGTTGTGAGAAACTTGATTGTAATTATCTGTTTTTTTTTCCCCCCTTCCCCCATACGAAGAGAGACTGTGGAAACTGAAGAATGAGACTTTGCCCATAACTTGTGAACAAAGTGACTCTTAAGATTTTGTATATTACTATACACTGATTACATTTTTTTTTCTGGTCGTTGCGATCCCTATACATGTGGAGTAATTTTATGAACTCATTTAACTTCAATTGCAATTGATGTATATATCAGCTGCCAAGCTTGCGAGAAACTGATGCGACGGCACGCTACTATGGGCTAGAAAAAGGACCAGTGGTGAAGATCATTCACACTGTTGGGCGTGTTGATTCCTTTGTAACTTATCGTTGTGTAGTTTAATATTTTTATTTGTATTATGCTGTCTCAGGCAACAATGAGGACAAGATTTAGGAGAAATCTGAACAAAATAGGTATCTCTATTTGGTAAGTTCGAGGTTTCTAAATCCTTATAATCATCATGAGGCATGATGCTTCTCATCGCCTAGCAATTTATCTAGTTATCCATAATTTTAACGATGTCAATGCATCCTAGAAGCATGTTCCAATCAATTCTATTTGTAAGTGAGGGAGAATAGCATTCAGGGCCTTGGAAGAAAATTTATAATATGAAGAGCTCAATGCATTGTGAAATTACATGAAGGACCCAAAGACTTTAACTGTAATTAAATTATAGGAGTCATTCAATTATCTAAATAATGCTGTTGTTTTCTTTTTTTTCTTTTTTAAAATACAACCAGTAGTGCCGAAGCTCTGATATTGGCAATGTGATTGAGGGTGGTCAACCCTAAAAGGACCCGAGGGATTTGAATCCAAACCCAAGACCATTCCCCAAAACATTGAGGACCATTAAGCCAACTAATTCATTTAGTTATACAATATTAGGCTGTGTTTGCATGTTGTACTTAAGTTAGGAATTTAAATTTAAAATCTTATATTTGAAATCTCAAGTTTAAAATATAAATATTTCAAATTCTTTGTTTAGATGATATAAAAAATTTTAAATTATAATATTAAAATCTTTTCTTCGGATTTAAAGTAAAATTTCAAATTTCAAATTATATATTTGAATTTAAAAGAAACTTAGACAATGTCAATAGTCCGTTCCTGGTCAAAATTGATGGTCCGTATAGCCAACTTCTACCGAAACCAAACTGTGAACACTAACTGGGACTATAGCACCAGCGACAATTGGGATTGAATGGCTAACTTTTACTAGGAGCAGATCGACAATGATGATCGAGATTGGACAGTCGACTTCCATTAAGACTGGACCTATGATGATGACTGGGACCAGACAGTCGACTTCTATGGGATCGGATGGTCGAGTTTCACAGGATTGAATCGCCGACTTCAACCAAGAAGCGACCAAGACTGGATGGCCATCGTCAACTATGATTGTGCCTACAGCCAAGATTGAGTAACCTACTCCCACCATGACTAGGTCGACAACTTTGACTGAGACCACTGACGATTTGATCACGATTAGTGCTCATGGTTCAATCCTAGTCACAAGAGGTCGTTTGATCCCAATCAGCACAGGCCGCTCGATCTCGATGGAAGTTGGCCATCCGATCCTGATCATCGCCATAGTTTCGATCCCAATGAAAGTTAGTCATCTAGTCTCAATTTTCATTGTCAGTCTAGTCTCGGTGGAAGTTAGCCACCCAGTCTCAGTTGTCCTATTCGGTTTAATCCTAATGGAAGTCAACTTAGGGGAAGTTGGGGGCCTGATTGGGTCATCATCGATGGTCTAATCCTAGTGAAAGTTGGCCATTTGATCCAAATTGTCAACTGCACTCAGGTCCCTACTGGCATGGGCGATTCAATCCCAATAAAAGTCAACCATCTGGTCCTGATTGTCATTGGTAGTGCAATCCTAGTTGGCAGTGATGGTCCGATCCTAGTCAATGGTGGTAGCTTGGTTCCGTCAGTTTTAGCGGTCCGATCTAATTACCATTGATAGGCCGATCAAGTCTTTGTAGATTTGGGTCAAATTATCAAAGAGATTGAATTAAAATTTGAAATAATAGGAGTTTAGAAAGGATTTTAAATTACAAAGAGATTAGGGCCTAAATTTAAATCCAAATTCATATGTCCAAATCCAAATTCATATGTATCTAAACTTAGCATTAATGCAAATTGCAAAGCAATGCATGTATGCATGTATATATGTATGTTAGTTAGTTATAAGTTTCATTTTCAACCATTTGCATAGGCTCTTGTTAAGTTTGGATGAGTTGTTTGTTAATATTCGAACTTGATTTGTCGGTATTGAAAGAAGAAAAAAAACAAATTGTCAATTGCCAAAGACTAGTTACTTGATTATTGACTAGTTACTAATATTATACTAAATACAACAATATATATGTTATAAATTTAGTTTTTTAAATATTTTCATGATAATAGTTAATCCTAGATAAGTTGTTAATACATGAATATTTAGATATTAACAAGTCATGGAATTGGAACTGTGTTATATCGCAGAAAAAAGGTCATGGAATTGCTCAAACTAAATTTATAACATGTATGTTATTTTATGGGCAAAACTTATGTATTTAACCTTATATATTTAATGTATTTTTATCCAATTAAATCAAAACAAGTGGATTTTAATGTTTTAAAATATTTATTGCAAGAAATTATTACAAAATAAATAATATATAAATATAAATAATACATATGTCTTAATTTAATTGAAAACAAATATCTTAAATATATTAGGTTAAGTATATAAGGTTATTCCTTATTTTATTTAGCATAATATTAATACTTTATCAATAATTAGGAAACCAGTTAGTTTTCAGAAATTGACAACCTATTTTTGGAATATGGACAAATCAAATCCCAATATTAACAATAATTATCAATGGTCTTACAGCCTAATAGTATGTAAACTCTTTTGTAAGTAGGAGGTCACAAATTTGACTCCTTGTAACCTCATGTTGTTGGTACCTACTGTAACATTTCAATTTAAATTTTAATAGTTAATTTGGATTAATAGAAATTTTGAAAAATATTTAGAGGTAAGCAAATTAGTAGAAAATGATTATTAAATCTAACTTAGGATATAATTCTAAATTAATTTTTTTTAAAAAAAATATTAATTAATTAATTAAAAAATATTATTAAATTATTATTTATTATTATTAAAAAAAAGACAAAAGAAGAAAAGGTAAGAGAAAAAAAGAAGAAGAAGAAGAAGAGAAGCACTTTCAGCGTCCCCCGCGTGCTACAATCATTACGTATATATAATAATAATAAAAAAAGGGAGAGAGAGGAAAGAAGAAATAATAAAAAAATGTGGGACCCACTGAATTTTTATAAAAACTCACCTGTTTCCTTCGTTTCTTCATTCATTCCTTCGTGCGCGAGCTGAGGCAGAGTGAGCGTGAGTCGCCGATGCGAGAGATCTAAATTTTTAAGGTAAGAGTTTTTAATAGGATATTTAGGGTGTGATTTTAAGCTTTTCAAGACTAAGTAAGTGTTCTGAAAATTTTTCTTAGTCATCTTTCTTCTTTGGTTTCTGAGTTTGTAGTGGTAGAAAATTTAAGATCTAGAAGATGGATAAATTTATGTTGAATAAATATGATTTTTGAGGTTGTCAGTAGTATAATAAATGTTGTAGAATATAAATTTGTTGATGATCTTTGAATTTGTGGCTTATGGATCAAATTCTAAACTAGATCCGAAAATATATGTTGATTTATTGAGGTTTAGATGATTATTTGGGATGAGAAATGAATTATTATGGCTATAGGATTATGATTTTAAGCTAGAGACTCAATTTTTAATTTTTGAATATTTTAGGTGCGAATTTATGAAATAAAAAGAAAATTTGATAATAGAAATTAGTTTAGAAGTTAATTTTTAGATTATTAATGTTTATTGATAATTAAAAAAGGAGTTAAAAATTTTACTTAATAGTATTAACTCTAGATTTATATTAAGATTGAGATTAAGAATTATATTATATTTTTAATTCTATTATTAGAATTATTTTATTAGTTTCAAAAATTAAAACTAATATTTATAAATAATATGTTATTTGTAGATTGTGTTGTTGGTGAAGATTGTAGTGGGAGAGAAATTGTAAGGAATAATTTATTGAAAAGGCCACGAGGTAACCATACTTTTAATTTGTGATTAGTGTTACTTCATGTTAATTGGGTGATTATTGAGAAAATTATGAATTTTATAATATTGTATAATTGTGCAATATTATTTTGAATTTGTTTGATTATTGTGGGAGGTGTTGGGAGACTTGCTATTGTTATTGTATTTATGTGCCACGTGGTACGCCCCTGTTGAAGCTCAATAGGTGGTTTGTAAGGGCTCGGGTTAATCTACCTTTGGCCGGGTAATTTAGCACCGAGTGAGGGCTACGGCTCGAGGTTAATGGAGGGATATAAGGATGGTTGTTTGTGTGTATTATAATATTTCTTATATTTGTTGAAATTATATTATTTTTAATTCTCACTTAATAAGCACACACTTAACTGTTTGTATATACTATCATAAATTGACTATAGTTACTAGGACTTTTGAGTCTCATTATGTGGTTAACAATTTTCAGGAGAAAAGCCACGAGTGACACGTGGAGGAGTCCCAGAGGCTTAGTGGCATAGATCCACTGTCTCTTTTGGGTATTTGATTTATGATTTATAATGTGTTATATTGCCAATATTATGGCCTTTTGTTTATTGACAATTATATGAATATATAAATGTAATCATGCCTTTCAAACTATTTCTATTTTTAGTACAATTTGGATGACTGTAATTTTAATATTTGGTTTACTTTGGATTGGTTAAAATGGCATGATTATGAAGCCAAATAACTAGCTTGTGTTGAAAATTGACTAAATCGTTTATTTTTCTTGTTGGGAATATAAGGATGGACAAATGTGATTCAGTTTATTTGTTGGAAGTATAAGGATGGACAAATGTGATTTAGCCTAATGGCATATGGAAGGTAAAAATTTATTTGAAATGTTATATTGTGTGAGTTGAAGCTAATTATAAAATATTTTATATTAAAATTATTGATATAAAAATGTGTTGGGTGACTGTAATCCAATTATGATTGAGTTAAATTATTTAAAAAAATTTTGGTGTGTTACACCTACACCTCTAGTTCATATGTAAATGCTTGAAACCAAAACTTATAATATATATACATATATATATATATATATATATAAGAATTAGTTGGCTCCGCTATCAAAGAACATGGAAAATGCTATCAAACAATTTGTTGGCTCAATGATCTTTAATATTTTGGGGAATCAAGGGATTTTGAGTTCAGAACCGCCTTGACCCGTCTCTGGAGTTGACCACATCGCCATAACTTTGGTGGTTGGGATGATGGCTAGGCCGCTGATGATGG